GGGGGTGGGGGGGGGGTTGGGAGAGCATTTTGCATGTAACTGTGCTATTATGTGGGAGGAAGTAGTTGTCTCGAGGGGTGTGGATCCAGGTCCCGAGCTGAATCTCAAGTAGCCAAATCCAGCCCAGTCGTTTTGTTGTGCGTGTGCGCGTGTGTGTGTGTGTGTGTGTGTGTGTGTGTGTGTGTGTGTGTGTGTGTGTGTGCGTGTGTGTGTGTGTGTTTGTATGATCTGAAAGGTCGAAACCTTTCGACCTTTCGAAATCGTAACCCCAGGCAAACCCCGTCGGGTACGATTGTACCCGACCCAAGTATGGGTTACTGACCCGAGTTCGGGTTGGGTATACTCGACCTGAAGGGTAATAAAAAACCCGACTTTGGACACCCAGGTCGGGTACCGGGTATTTTGTACCCGCCCGAGTATACACTGCTAGACCCGCCCGGGTAGTCAATCCCAAAATAAGGACCCGGCCCGACTAAAAATTCCGGTCAGGTTGGGTAACCCGACCCACCCGGGTCTTTTGCCCATGCCTAAATGTAACCATCACGGGAATGACTACGGTCCATTCGAACCAGGTTAGGCCCTAGTCAGGCTGGCCGTGGATATTTTGGCCCAGATCCGGCCTGTTAAGTTTGGCAGTGCGATACGGTTCGGCTCCGTTCGGGTTTGGTCAGCCCAGATCAGGCGGCTTTCGGCCCGTCCGAACTGTCCTAGCCACAGGGACACCCGTGTTGAGCGGAGCGGCACGGTGATGAGCCTGTGCTCATCCCTATACCAGGCCCAGGTCAGCCCGAAGTTCGATTCAATATTTATATGTGGCTGTCGCATGGCTGCGTCATGGCTGCCTGCCTCATTCCTCAATTGGTCGACAATGTGTGCTCGCTGTCCCTCAGTTTATGCCCACCATTCTCATCTTCTCACTTCTTACACCACACACACACAGGTATCTGTCAAACAACAATTTGACGGGCTCTATTCCCCACAGCATTTTCATGCTTTCTCAGCTCAACCTTCTGTATGAATCACCTCCTAGTCATAAGCACGAAAATGATTAATTATTGCATGAACACTAAATATTTGAAGACTTCATCCTAAATCACGTAATTAGGAGTCACGCACGAGCAAGAAATCAAGGATTTTTGGAAGTGAAAACGTACTTGCACACATTGAAGGAAGCCGAGCCAAGGCTGACTATCTAACTCCTCCTACGGCTGTCCCCCTTCCAGGCCAGGTTCTACGCACCAAAACGCGCCGAAACGGGACAGGATTGTGACTCCATCCAGTTCGGCCAATCAGAGTCGAGCATGACACCGCGAACCAAACAACAATTCGCTTTTCACTATGCCTGCCTCCCACCATGCCTGTCTCATCCCCCAATTTAATAGGTCATGTGTTCGTGCTGTCACTCAGTCCAACTCCACTGTTCTCATCTCCTCAGTTCTTCTACCCTGACCCACACCACACACACACAGGTCTCTATCAAACAACATGTTAACGGGCTCCATTCCCAACAGCATCTCTGACCTTTTGCAGCTCCTATATCTGTATGAAGCACTTCGCCAGAACCTAATCAAAGATCTTATCAACTCCAATACCACAAAGAATCCTTAGACAAATAACCTAGATGTCACACGCAAACAAGAAAACTAGGATTTTTGGGTAATCAAAAGGTCACGCATGAGCAAAAGACCTGGCCGGTCGGGCCAGCCCGAATCGACCCGAGTTTTTGCCTGGGTCAAGTCAGGACTTTCAATTTCTTGGCCCGGCCGGGTCGATTCGATTCGGTCCGGCCTGGGCCAAAACCCGACCCGATGTTGAATTTCGGATCGGGTCGGGTTTCCTGCAGACTGTGACCCGACCTGGAATCAGGTCAAAAACTCTGAAGTCGATGTCGAGGGGAAAGTTTTTCCCTCGACATCAGTTCTGCAACCTACCTAACTTCACTTCGACATCCTAGGGTTGGGCTAGGCTCAATGCCAATAGCAAGTCAGCCCTCAGTGCAGCACTAGGGCGGCTTGCCAGCGCCACAAGTCGGCGGCCTACCAACGCAGCTGGGAAGCGGCTTGCCAACGCACCAAGATGGCAACCTGCCAACTATGCACCAGGGTGGCTTGCCAATGCTGCATCAAGGCGGATTGCCAGCGTTGCAACCGCAGGTATCTGTATGCACGCAAGCGCGCACCTACTTCGCAAGTGCAGGTAGACAGTTACGCACGTCGTGCACTGTCTCGCACATTGCGCTGGTGCCAGGTCGGCCATGCGCCGACAGTTGCGCCATGTCGACCTTGTGATTTTGTGATGTTGCCACGTAGGTTGGCTTCACCAAAACACCTGGACGACGTTCGCGCACCCCCGCAGAACTTCGTCGACGAGGTTACTCGACCGACTAGAGGAGGCCGCCGACACCCACAAGTCGGCGCCCGGAAGTCAACGTCACATTGACGACCACCGTCGTCAACCGCCGAAACCCAGCGCTGTCCGTCGACTTCATCGGCACCGTCAAAGTCGGTTTCGCCAACGTTAGCCTCGATGTGGTCTCATTGAAGTCGATAACCAACTTTGTCGACGTCCCCCTCCAGGTCGACCCCGACCTCCAAGTCGAGTTGAGCGCATGCCTTGCGCGTTGGTTAGCGACGCCGACTTCACCCAAGCGAGGGCGGGGCCAGTTCTCCGACCAACAAGGTCGAACCAACCCAATCTGGCCGGGTCAGACGGGTCCCGTGTCGGGTCCCGCCGGGTCCAACTTTTCAGGATGCCGACCCGTCCCGAGCCTCAGAAGGTTCAAGGTTAAACCTTGAACCCAAACTTAACCCATTTTCTGATTCAACCGGAACTGACCTTACCTGGTTTAGTTTGACTAAGGGTCAAGTTTGACCTTGTTGAACGAAATTCTTGCTCCAAGACTTTTAGTCAAGAATTCGGTTATAAAACAATCGACAACAGTTTGTTACACCTTCATAAGAAGAACAAAAGAAGTTTTTTCGAACCTGCCATTCACTCCCTATACATCACTTTTCACTACTATTGATCAGACTTTTCCGTCTCATCATTACCAGGCACATTGGAAAAATATTCATCGATCTATATCATTTGCTTATGTTTTTTATTATTTATGTCCAAAAAAATCCAACGAAATTCTTACCCAGAAAACATACCGTTTTCGGACCAAAATTTAACAATAGTTCTGGGCGAAAGTTTGACAGAAAACTCTAAAACAATCGGCAAGATCTTGCACCTTTGGTTAAAAAATATTCACAGGTATCGTGCAAAAAAGCATCGTCTTTCATTCTCAGCTCCCTTATCTGTGAGGCGCACCTGGGTTAGCCCTGGTGGTAAGGACGTGGTGCAAAAATTGTGAACTCAGTGCACTGCACCGCACTGGCGCGCACCAGCTCAAGCTAGGGATGGGCATTTGGCCCGGACGGGTCGGGTTACCCGACCCGACCCGCCCAAAAGGGCGGGTCGGGTCAGGAATGCTGAGAATGTCGACCCGTCCGGGTCGGGTCGGGTTTACCCGGGCGGGTCGGGTCGACCCGTGACCCGTCAATGTGATTTATACACGGGTATCAGCGACCCGCCGGGTCGGGTTGACCCGTCCCGTCCGGGTCGCATACCCAGTCAAATGAAAGGGTTGCCTGACCCGTTCTCTGATTAGGGTACACTTTGGAGAGGGGGAGAACATCAGTTGGTTTTGATGTTTTGTTTTCCTCGACATTCAGATCCATTCACTAGACTAGATCAAGCTAGTAAATCTGCACTGCGCCTACCAAGACCCTTACAGTCTTCACTTCAATGTTAGCACTATTTTAATATTTATATTTATTGTAGGCATAGGCGCTCCCGCCATTACGCAGCGTCGCACGACCAGGGGCGCAGCAGCGCGCTCGCGGCCACGCATTGGCGGGATCGTGTCCCCGCAATAGCGCGATCTCGGCCCCGCATTTGCGCAGCGCGATCGCGGCCACACACATGTAGTTTACAATGTAGCAATTCAGACCTAACCTCCATACCCTGCTGCTATGTAGCATATCTTGATCCGACCCGACCCGACCCGTGGTGTAACCGACCCGGTTACGGGTCACAAATACCCGTTCCAACGGGGCGAGTCGGGTCACCAAAACAGAGTCAAACCCGACCCGCTGACCCGACCCGTTAAGCTAACGGGTCGCCCTAAACGGGACGGGTCGGGCCGGGTCGGGCCAGATGCCCATGCTTAGCTCAAGCTAGTCGCGCTCCTCGGGGCAAGTGCGGAACACTTCGCCTTTCATTGGGCGCATTTATCCTTCTAAGTATCAAAATCGCACCTACAAAAGTAACTTGAAAATCCATTTACTTGGAATGCTCACCAACAAGAGTTTGTGGGTTTGTCGAGCGGTGGTGAAATGACAGAAGGAAAGGATCGACAAAGTTCAGATTGTGTTTCCTGGTTTATCTAGGGTTGGTGCATCGTTCGAGTGGTGGTAAAATGGCGAAAGAAGGATCGGAGTTCATTCAGAGTGTGTTTCCGGGTTTATCAATGTTGTGCAAAAGATGGCGCGCGCACCATTGTGTGCCCTGGTGCGACGAGAGACGCAACAGTGCGAACCGTTGCTTGCACTGCACCTCACTAGTGCGCACCAAGGCAAGCAGGTGAACCGGGTTAACACGCATTTCCGTCGGCTCGGAGGCTCTGAAACCCGGTGAAATGCATTGCACTGGTGCGCACCAAGGTGATCGGATTGCCGCGATCCTGCAGCAGTTAGATTGGGTTGAGTAGGGGCTTCAATTTCATATGTTAGAAGTCCATTCATATCTTGAAGGGCAGCTTGCATCGCGGGCCACAACCCCCATGTGACATTCTCTGTAACCTCTGATGCGATCAGTGGTTGCTTCTACTCAGTCATATCATTGATATGAACTCTACTGAAGCTAATGGCCAGCCAGCATTAGGGTCGTCTTGCTCTTTTCCTCCCTGTCAACTCCCTCTCCCTCATCTCGCATGGGCTGCGTTTCATGTCTGTCAGGAGTATACAAGGAAATCGCTTGGTTGGATCCATTCCATCCTCTCTCGGCCGCTTGGTCAACCTGGTGAGCCTGTAAGTTTCATATGCTTTCCCAACTACTACCATTGGCTTGTTGACAGCACTGGGAGAACCAAATTAACCACAGTACTTCAGGAATATCACTACTTTGCCGTGTTGACACAATCTCAAAGCCCACAACTTGTGTGCTTTGCGGCCATCCATCCGTGTGCCCTTTCCCAGATCTATTCTCCTCTCAATCACCATGCTTCCTCCATTCAGCAGCCATTTCAATCTCCCTTCCTTTCCCCTTCAACCCTCAATACTTTACTTTGCTAATGCTTCTACCTTTTGCTCCCAGTCCAATGTTGTTTTTTCTTTTCCCTTATGCTCCCAACAAAGCTCCCCACCTATTTGGATCTTGGCTCATCACATCCTTGCGGCGCTTGCATGTGCTTCCTGGGATTCTTGCCATGCCTGCTATTTTCAATTCTTCACTTCTTTCAACCCGCAACACACAATGCACAGGGATCTCTCATCCAATTCCCTGAGTGGCCCCATGTTCACAAACTTCGCCTTCCTTGATGGCCTCACCTATCTGTACGAAGCTCACTTGAATCATTGTTTTATGTGTCGGGCCGAGAATTCATGGCGCTCTCATATGCCAAGCCTGCACTGTTCTCTCATGTGCCAAGCCTGCACTGTGCTCTCATATACCGAGCCTGCACTGCGCTCTCATATGCCAAGCCTGCACTGCGCACTCATGTACCAAGCCTGCACTGCCTTCTCATGTGCCAAGCCTGCACTGCGCTCTCATGTACCAAGCCTGCACTGCCCTCTCCTGTGCCAAGCCTGCACTGTGCTCTCATGTGCCAAGCCTGCAATGCGCTCTCATGTGCCAAGCCTGCACTGCCCTCTCATGTGCCAAGCCTGCACTGCGCTCTCATGTGCCAAGCCTGCACTGCCCCCTCATGTGCCAAACCTGCACTGCCCTCTCATGTGCCAAGCCTGTACAGTGCTCTCATGTGCCAAGCCTGCACTGCGCTCTTATGTACCAAGCCTGCACTGCGCTCTCATGTACCAAGCCTGCACTGCGCTCTCATGTGCCAAGCCCGTACAGCTCTCTCATCTGCAAACATGCACTGCGCATCAACTCACTTTCATAATCGCTGTGTGATCTTCCACAGTCTTGTCACCTCAGCTGCTGTTCCAGAGCATGTTGGGATGTGCTGTGACACGTTCAATGGTGCACTGCACCTTATAGTTGCTGCCGTGCATATTTTCTCTTCAGGTTTTTTTCCCATCCATTGTACCAACCTAAATCTATATTCCTGACACACACTCGTCATGCTGACGATCTCAACGTTTGCTTACTCAAGCATCATGACAACCTCGAAACCGCCATGGCCTGGTCCAGGGACTTTGAAGCTCCCAATGTCCATCAATTTCCTATCAGTCAGCAGTTTAAAGCCCAGATCTGCACTCAGACTGACAATAGGAATCCAACGATATAACTTTTGTGTTCATACAGCGAACATTTTTATCAAAGGGTTATTGTCAGGCAGTATCAAGGCGCGAGCTAACGCTGAAAACCCAAGGACAAGGGAGATTACCAAGGTCGCTGGCAACACCAGGGAGCCAGTCTGGCGGATTGGTGTTATCAAGGCGCTACGACAAGTTTTTCAAGACTATTTATACCCTAGCAGGAGGAAACGCAAGCATTATCCTTTGAGGGAGTGTCCCGTGCTCAGTTCTTTCTCATCATCTGCCGTACTACGGCGTTTCCAGGCCTTTCATCATCACAGGATGGCTCCCCCGGAGGCTAATGCGGCTGCTTCGGCTGCTGCTGGAGGCGTCCTGAACAAGAAGGGATCGGAGCCGGTCACGCCAAGGACACTCTTCAATGGTGTCCAGGGGCCTTTCGGTTCAGACGCTGTTAACGAGCTGTCGGCAAGGACGTCGGCGCTCAAGATCAATGATCTGCCAGGAGAAGAAGGAGGCAAGCGCGCGTCAATGGGAGCGAAACAAGCTTCTGTTACAGGCGACCAGGGGAAAGGGAAAGGAAAAGTCAAGGAATCTGAGGAGGACGACGGTTACCTCAGCGATGACCCGGAGGAGTGCAAAGATCCGGAGGTGGTGAGCGACATTGCATCTCAGGCGGGTTTCGCCATCACGCTGCTCGTCCCGGCCAAGTGGATTGACGAGGTTCCGCGCACGATTGAGACGGTCCGCGGGCTCCTGCTGCTGTGGGAGGAACATCTGACGGAGAATGTGAAGGTTACGACACGGTGTCACAAGCTCCTGCCGACGTGGCTTTCGAAGGAGCGTTTCGGCCGGGTTCAAGTGGTTTTCGTGCATGCGACGGATGCCAACTTCATGTGGAGTAAGAAGGTGGAGCATGTGGCGCGGAACAATGTTCGTCTGACGCTCGGATGGCAATACCCCGAAAATCAGGAATGCCTGAAGGAGCGGTCGAAGAAGCCAGACGCGATAGAAGTGCTGCTGAAGAGCGTCCCTGCTGTCATCACGCCAGAGATGATCCGGAAGAGCCTGGTGACTGCGACCCTGTTGAAGCGCAAGCGCACGGCGTTCCTGGAGGGTTCGGCTTTCCACAGGGTGGTGGATCCGGTTACAGGGTCAGACACGGATAAGATCAAGGGGTTGGTTTACCGGCACCCCGGGGATAAGTACAAGTGGTGGCATAGGGTGACGGACAAGGTCCATGGCACGACTCTGCTCGTCTCTTTTCCTGCGCTCGCCTGTGTTTTCTGCAACGGCATGCATATGTCATGTTTCCACGATGAAAATGTGACGGAGCGGCAGGACAACTTCACGAAGTGGAACTTACCGCTCGCGCGAGTTCATGAGATGAATGGTAATCATGCCTGCTCGAGTTGTGCTTTTCAGGTCGCGGCTGCCGCGGGCGATCCAGCTCATCTCTGTACTATCTCCCCTCTGAGCAGCGGACTCCCTGAAGCTGTCCTCAGCTACAAAGGCCATCATGGAAGATCCGGCGATGGTTTTCACCTCCACCAACAGTGCGCGGGAGGAGTGGTTGTGTGTCCAGGAGGGGTGCGGGAAGGCACACAGTGTCAGTTTCGCGAAGGCGGCGGAGCATGCGGCCTCGGTTATGCACTGCACCGAGCGTCTCAAGGCGGGATCGGCGACACGTCAGAGCAAGGGGAAGATGAATCTCCTGGCGGTCAAGAAGGAGTTCGGGATGTGAGCTCGCAGCTGCGGGGTCCTGGCTCTGGTGACTTCAACGCCTGCGTCAGACCCGGGGAGGCAATAAGCACAGAGCTAGAGAAGGGGGGGAGGTTGAGTCTTATGGATGTTTCACCTGTCTGTACAGTCTAATAAAGCCCGTGGATGCGAGGGGCTCCTGTCATGGTTAATCAATGGATAAACGCTCACGTCTCACCATCTGCGGGGTCAACGTGAATGGCCTCGGAAGTAACGGCAAAAGAGTCAAGCACCGCACGTGGATTAAGAGGGCCGCGGATGTGGTGGTGATGTCAGATACAAGGACCAAGGAGGACCATAACTTCTGGAAAGAGCTAAAACCAACAGCTTGGGCAACAGCGAGCACGGTGAAAGGAGCAGGAGGAGTGACGATCGTGGCCTTTAGGAAACATCTACGGTTCACAGAAGTGATGACACATGAGACAGGGAGACTGTTAGGGGTGACGGTGGAAGGAGGAGCGACGCCTTTCAGGCTCGTTGCGGCGTACCTTCCAGCACAGCCAGGGAAGCGGACGAAATTCCATACAGAGCATCTGGTTCCATTCGCAAAGGCGCAGCCGGCGGGAGCCCACTTGGTGTTGGTAGGGGACCTCAACATCATTGCGGATCCGGACCTGGACAGGTCATCGAACACGGGCTCAGGCAGGGAGAATCAGCGCTTTTTGGAGGCGTGGTCGGGATTCGACCTCAGGGATGCCTTCCGGGCGCTCAACCCGGGTGAGAAGCAGTACACGTTCAAGGCGAGGCCGTCAGGCACCAAGTCCAGAATCGACAGGGCGTTGGTGTCGACTTCGTTACTGGGGCAGTTGGCAGAGGCAAGCCACACGTGGGTGCCGAAGAAGCTGTCGGACCACCGATTCGCGATCCACGTCAGCCTCGTTATCAAGTCGTCTCACGAGAGCGGGCCTGGTATCTGGAGGCTGCACGCAACACGGGTAAACCGGAGGGGAATTAGGACGGTGCTGCAGAAAATCATGGGGTCGCCGACGAGGCATGGCGTGCGGACGCTGGAGCGAGCTATTCCGCGTCTGAGCGCGGCCCTGCGAACGCACGAGAGAGAAGAACGGAAGCGGGTCACGGCGACCAGACGACATCTTGAGACGGAGGTTACAAGGCTGAACCACTTGGTTATGGCGGGGCCGGCGGAGGCAAGGATAAAGGAGAAGCTGCTGACTATGGAGGCTCAACTGGAAAGCTACCAGGAGAGCGAGACGGAGCAGCTGCAGGTGTTTGCCGGGCTGGACTCGGAGTTGCACGGCGAAATCCCGTCGCCGTACCTGTCGGCAAAGGTCAAGATGAGGAAAGAGAAGACGATAATCAAGGAAGTGGAGCACAAGGGGAAGCGGTTCTACGGTTCGCAGGAAGTCTTGGTGGCAGCTGCAGAGCACTTCCAAGAAGCTTTTGCGGTGCAGGAGGTGACAGAGCGACAAGACCGGGAAACAATAAAGGTAGCAAGGCGCTTAACGGAGGATGCAGTGGCGAGGCTACGTGCCCCGTGGACGGAGGCGGAGGTTAAGGAGGCGCTGGCTGGCCTGCCGAGGGGCAAGTCGCCGGGCCAGGACGGCTTACCACCGGAACTCTTCAAGGCCCACTGGGACCTTCTGGGCGGGCCTCTAGTCGAGTTTGCCAAGAGGTTCGAGAAGTCGGGGGTCCTGGACGAGTCAGTCACCACAGCAGTCACAGTCCTGTTACATAAGAAAGGACCGACAGATCAGTTAGGGAATTATAGACCCATCACGCTTTTGAGCACGGCGTACAAGGTGCTGGCGAAGCTGCTGGCAAACAGGCTGAAGAAGGAGTTGCATCTGGTGATATCGGAGGAGCAGCACGGCTTCATACCTGGAAGGAGTTTGGCGGATGCGGTCTCGGTCGTGGCGGACGCGGTGGAGGCTGCGGACAACGGGGGGGAAGACTGGTTCCTCCTCATGGTCGACTTCCAGAAGGCATAGGACACGGTGGCAAGGCCATACCTCTTCGAGACGATGGACAAACTGGGCATACCGGCGGACTTCATTAGGTGGACCGAGGGGCTGCATCAGGGCTCCGGGACGAGGCTGGCGATTAACGGCTGGATAGGGGAGAGGGTGGAGATGCAGAGGGGGGTGCGGCAAGGGTGCCCGTTGGCCCCGTACCTCTTCCTGTGCGCCCTCGAGCCGCTCTGTCAAAAGATTAAGGAAAAGAAGCTGGGGGTGAGCGAGGAGGGAGCAGCGGAGCTGGCATACGTCGGTTACGCGGACGATACGACACTGATCCTGAAGGGAGAAGAGCAACTGAAAGAGGCAGAGGCGGTCCTGGAGCAGTTCGGAGCGTTGTCAGGCCTGCGTACAAACAAAGATAAGTCGGTGGTCATGCCGCTGGGTAGGAACAAGGGGAAGAGTGGAGCAGAGGGGGTGAATTTCAAGTGGGCGGCGGACGGAGTACCGGAACGCCTGCTCGGGATATGGATCACACCAAATGGGGACGCAGAGCCGTCCTGGGGGAAAGCATGGGAAAGAGGGAAGACGGAGCTCGTCAAGTGGGAGAGCCAGCATCTTCTGACAGCGGCAAGGGTGACGGTAATAAACGCCTACATCATGCCGATTTTCGTTTTCCAAGCGCAAGTTTACCCGCCGCCGGAGGAGCTGTGGAAGCACATCCAGAAGACGTGTGATAATTACGTCTCCAGCGGGGAGGCCACGGCGGATAAGACGTTCGTACTGTGGAGCGGAGAGTTGGCGCGCCTGCCAAAGAAGGAAGGGGGTTTGGGGCTGATAGACCCCAAAAAGAGAATCGACAGCATGGCTATCCGTATGGTCGGGAAGCTGATTGCGGAAAGCGATGTCACAAAGCGGTGGCTGGCGGAAAAGGCAGCGGCGTTACCTCAAGGAGCGGCGACGCTCTTCGCAGACCCATCTGCAGCAAAGCACTGGCCGGGCGGCAGCCAGAGGTGGAAAGCGACGGTTGAGGCTTTCTGGGAGTCTCCGTACGCGGAGCTGCCGGAGCCGAAAACCGGCTGGGAGGTGGAGCAAGCGAAGGTGTGCTTCAACCGCAAAGTTATGTACAGGGGGAAGAGTCCTTATGGGAACTAGCAGGGCACGGTGGGAATCAGAACGGTGGACTTCGGCGCTCTGGTGGAGGAAGGGCCGGGGGGTGTACGTACGGCAAAGGGCAAAAAGGCTTTGAGAACAGAGCTGGGAGGAGTTGCAGCGGCCAGGTGGGCGCTGATGGCATACGCGGCGATGTCAGAGGAGTGGAAGACGATGATCACGGCAAGCAGAACGGCGGAAGCGGTGGCGACTGCAGCGGAGGTAGTAAGGTCGCTCCTCCCACGGACACAGGAGCATCTGTACTGGAGGGTGACGGGAGCGCAGGACAGACGCTATCAAGCGTAAGATGCGGGAAAGACGGGAAGCTGGAGGAATGGAGCAGACCAGTTAAAGCAGTTTTCGGAGTAAAGAGAGTGGAACCGGTGGCGGTCAGAGGCGGCAGGGTCCTAGGTGTGCTGGGCGCACCGCTGACGAGGTTACGCCAGTCTGATATACTAGATGAGGAAGGGATACCGGTGAAGGCGAAGGCGATCCGACGGGTGCTTACAGGCCCGACAGCAATGTCAAGAAAGCGAATCGAGTGGGAGGAAAGGTGGGGGAAGAAGATCGACTGGGCAAAGGTGGAATGCAGAAGAGAGTCACTGGCAGTACCTGTCAGGGCAAGGGATGTACTGCTGAGGATGCACAGCTTGAACCTGCAGGTGGGAAGCAGGCTGAAGTTCTTGGGGGAGAGGGCGCGGTGCTCGCACTGTGGGGAGCCTGAAACCCTAGAGCACTGCATGTTCAGCTGCCCGCTGGTGCAGCCTGTAATCGGCGCGCTGCTCCGCTCGCTGCAGCTGCTAGATCGGACGAGTAATCCGAGCTCGCTGGGCGACTTACTTTTCGAGGAGGGGGGCACACGGTCAGGAAGCAGGGCCGGTCCGCTCCAGTTTATCAGTTACGACTGAGGATGTATGCACTGTCACTAGTGTATTAACATTCAAAAAAAAAAAAAAAAAATCTATATTCCTGTGGGATGGGTGCATGCATTGGAATTGCCAGGTTCCCCCATCTCATGCATGCAGCAGTGAACGGATGAATGCATGCCTTTAAGTGGATGGGTGGATGCACGTTGCTGCATTGCTGCGTGCATCAGGCTCACAGGGCTCACTCCCACTCTTTCCGTCCAACCCATGTGAGCAGAAACCTCTTTGATAATAACCTCAGCGGGGAGATTCCGGCTGAGATTGGAGGCCTCACGGGATTGGTGTACTTGTGAGTAGGCTTGAGCAAATACCAAACCCGAAGTGAATTTGCTTCATTAAGTACTGAACCTAAACTGATCGTGAATATATGCTTGAAAAGGTACCAGAATTGAAGAGAACTTGTAAGTAGGCTTGGACCGTACCAAACCCGAACCAACAATTCAACTTGTGATTAGGCTTGAACAAGTGCCAAACATGGACCAAACTTCAAACTTGTAAGTTGGCTTGAACAAGTATCGAACCCGAAACGAACTTGTAAGCCGGGCCAGGGCTGCATGGCGCTCTCATGTCCCAAGCCTGCAGTGTGTTCTTATGTGCCAAGCCTGCACTGAGCTTCCATGTGCCAAGCGAGCATTGGGCTTCCGTGTGCCAAGCCTGCACCGAACGGCGATCTTTATGTGCCAAGCCTCCACTGCGCTCTGAGGCATCGACTCACTTTCATAATCGCTGTGTGACCTTCCACGGTCTTGTCACCTCAGTTGCTGTTCCAAAGCATGCTGTGACATGTTCAATGGTGCTCTGCACCTTATAGTTCATTCCGTGCCATCCCATTTTACCAACCTGCCATCTATGTTTTTTTGGGGATGGATGCACGCATTGGAACTGCCTGGTTCATGCATCTCAATGCATGTCTTCAAGTGGATGGGTGGATGCTTCTTTTAAAGTGGATGCATGGATGCTTGCCTTTAACGGATGGGTGGATGCATGTTGCTGTGTGCATGAGGCTAACAGGGCTTACTCCCACACTTTCATCAAACCCATGTGAGCAGAAACCTTTCTGCTAATAACCTCAGCGGGGAAATTCCAGCTGAGATTGGAGGCTTCACTAGATTGGAGTACTTGTGAGTAAGCTTGAGCAAGTACCAAACCTGAACTGAACTTGTAGGTAGGCTTGCGAAGTACCCAAATCGGAGCGAACTATTTAGTAGGCTTGAGCGATACCAAACCCCAACTTGCAATTGAACTTGTGAATAGGCTCGAACGAGTGCCAAACCTGGACCAAACTTGGAACTTGTGAGTAGGCTTGAGCAAGTACTGAACCCGAAACGAACTTGTAGGCCGGGCCAGGGCTGCATGGCGCTCTCATTTCCCAAGCCTGCAGTGTGTTCTTATGTGCCAAGCCTGCACTGAGCTTCCATGTGCCAAGCGAGCATTGGGCTTCCGTGTGCCAAGCCTGCACCGAATGGCGATCTTTATGTGCCAAGCCTGCACTGCGCTCTCAGGCATCGACTCACTTTCTTAATCGTTGTGTGACCTTCCACGGTCTTGTCACCTCAGTTGCTGTTCCAAAGCATGCTGTGACATGTTCAATGGTGCTCTGCACCTTATAGTTCATTCCGTGCCATCCCATTTTACCAACCTGCCATCTATTTTTTTTGGGGGATGGATGCACGCATTGGAACTGCCTGGTTCATGCATCTCAATGCATGTTTTCATGTGGATGGTGGATGCTTCTTTTAAATTGGATGCATGGATGCTTGCCTTTAACGGATGGGTGGATGCATGTTGCTGTGTGCATGAGGCTAACATGGCTTACTCCCACACTTTTCATCAAACCCATGTGAGCAGATACCTTTCTGCTAATAACCTCAGCGGGGAAATTCCAGCTGAGATTGGAGGCTTCACTAGATTGGAGTACTTGTGAGTAAGCTTGAGCAAGTACCAAACCTGAACTGAACTTGTAGGTAGGCTTGCGAAGTACCCAAATCGGAGCGAACTATTTAGTAGGCTTGAGCGATACCAAACCCCAACTTGCAATTGAACTTGTGAATAGGCTCGAACGAGTGCCAAACCTGGACCAAACTTGGAACTTGTGAGTAGGCTTGAGCAAGTACTGAACCCGAAACGAACTTGTAGGCCGGGCCAGGGCTGCATGGCGCTCTCATGTCCCAAGCCTGCAGTGTGTTCTTATGTGCCAAGCCTGCACTGAGCTTCCATGTGCCAAGCGAGCATTGGGTTTCCGTGTGCCAAGCCTGCACCGAACGGCGATCTTTATGTGCCAAGCCTGCACTGCGCTCTGAGGCATCGACTCACTTTCATAATCGCTGTGTGACCTTCCACGGTCTTGTCACCTCAGTTGCTGTTCCAAAGCATGCTGTGACATGTTCAATGGTGCTCTGCACCTTATAGTTCATTCCGTGCCATCCCATTTTACCAACCTGCCATCTATTTTTTTGTTGGGGATGGATGCACGCATTGGAACTGCCTGGTTCATGCATCTCAATGCATGTTTTCATGTGGATGGGTGGATGCTTCTTTTAAAGTGGATGCATGGATGCTTGCCTTTAACGGATGGGTGGATGCATGTTGCTGTGTGCATGTTTGGCTCAAATAGAACACTCTTGCAGGAGTTACAGTGACTTACAGCTTTTTGTGGGGTGCTGGCAATGTCTCCATGCCACCATCCCCTTACCGTCCTCACCTTCGCATCGGTGCCCATGTTTTTCGCATTTTCATCTCCCCTTTTCCACTGCAGCAACATCTCTGGCACCAACCTCACATGCCCACCTGGCAACTCTACCTGTGGCGTAAAACAATCTCGTAGAACATCCTTTTGCCGCACGTGTACACCCTTCTGCAATACTTGCACCAACCAATCTGCAGGCGAGTCAATAACCTCACCTCCCAAGTATGATTTCAGAGTAAAAAGCAACGAGACACGACATGATGCATGGCACAGTGCGGTTTGGAGTCATGAGTGTTGTGCCAGAGAAATATGTTGTTAGAGAAAAAATATCTTTACAGCAAGCGACGCATGGCACATGGGAATGCATGCAACGCATGGGAATGCATGGAAACACATGGGACTGCATGGCATTGCACGGCGCAAGGCATGTTCTAAAAAAAGAATCCCTCACGTGCTAGCCCTGTTAGTGATCGTTTTGCAGCAATCTCCACAGCCTGTGTGGATTTATGCTCATGTCATTTGCAGGAATCAGCAACGGCAGCAGCAGCAGCAGCAGCAGCAGCAGCAGCGGCGGCGGCGGGGCGGCGGCGGCGGCGGCGGCGACGGCGGCAGCAGCGGCGTCGGCGGCAGCAGCAGCAGCAGCGAATTCTTCTGCAGGAGGTGGAGGTGGAGTGTCAGTGGGAGTCATCATTGGCATTGTTGTTGCTGCTGTGGCTATTCTCCTACTTCTTGTCGCCACTCTGGTTTACTTCAGGCACAAGTTACAGCCACAAGGTACGGAAACAAAGCAACCAAAAGTACACTCCACAAAAGGTACAGCTGCCATCTGTCGGCTCTGTGCAATCATAACGATATGTGAAAAGTAAGGTTTTCACTGCATGAACCCAGACATGAGTGAGATTGACTTGCCACAAGCAGTTTGACTTTTGAACTTGGCCCACGAATTTGCTTTTGTCACAAGCTTACGTGCTGCTGTATGCCTTTTTGAATAGTGGATGTACCCTAAGGGACGTAAAGCTGGGCTACACAATTCAGGAGGCAACAGATGGTTTTAAGAAGTCAAGTGTTGGAACTGCGAATTCTTAGGGTCTCTCAGGGCTCTGTATAACCCAGGCATAAATATGGAGTCGTCAATTTTATGACCCGTGAAATTACATACACGCTGGGTCTCAACAACAATCCACGAAGCAAGTTGGGGCATGTCACGGGTCTGGCCCGACTCTACTCAGCACATGATGTTTCGACTGAAGCCGACTCGTCTCAACCTGACTCAACTCGACTTGGCGACTTGATAATCTTGCTCAAGCATGTTTCCCTGCACCCATGCACCTCCTTTCACCTCTGACACTACAAGCAGGCTCCGGCAGCAGCCTGGCAGCCTCGCACTGCACGGAGTTCTCACTGGCGGAGGTCCTCAAGGCCACCAATGGGTGGTCCCCCAACAACCAGCTGGGCTCGGGTGCCTTTGGCGATGTGTACAAGGGTGTGTCTCCCCGCGATGGCACCACCTTGTGGGCTGTGAAGCGCGCCAAGCTGATAGACGTGGGCTTTCAGAAGGAGGTCAGTCAGCCTCAGAAATGGAGGTGCCATATCTTTTTGCCATTATTTTTTTTGTTTTTCAGTGTGCCATCGTAAGTCTGGTGAGCCATGCTAAAATTGTATCTTTCATTGCCATACTGCATGTTTGTTTTACCGTTCAACCTATTCAAACACCGAGTCACGACTAGCTTCTAACCTCTCGTATCTTTAGATGCAAACTTGAAAAAAAAGGGGGGGATGGAGAAAACAAACGTTTTTTTTCTGCACTTCAGATTATCATGCCTACTTGACTCTTTTTTTCCTAGTGTACCCTGCTTCTCAATCTGTTCCTTCATCCCTGCTGCTCCATCTTCCCCTGGCTGTGTGGATCAGATCCAGCAGATGGCCGACAAGAACCATCCCCACATTGTGAAGCTCCTTGGCTTTGCGATCGGAGGAGACTTGAGGACACGTCCCGAGCAAGTTCTCATCTATGAATACGTGCCCAATGGCGACCTTCACAAGTGGATTGGCCCAAGTATGCGTGCCACTCATATGCTGCGCCACCCATTTGCTATGCCACCCATATGCTGTGCCACTCATAGTGCATATCCTTGCAGAGGCTAAGTGCTCTCTAATTCTAAAGCAGCTTGCCACTTATACACTGTGCAACACTTAAGCTGTACCACGCATCCTTCCACATGCAGTCGGACCTCTACCACTCATCCTCTACCACTCATCCTCTGCCACTCACCCTCTGCCACTCACCCTCTGCCCCTCATCCTCTGCCACTCATCCTCTGCCACTCATGCTGCCATATATCTCTTGCAGAGGCAGAACGCCCTCTCACTCTGAAGCAGCGGCTGGACATTCTCATCGGCATGGCACGGGGCTTCGAGTACCTCCACGGATTTGGCATCGTGCATCGCGACATCAAGCCTACCAATGTCCTCATCACCGATAACATGCAGGCAAGCTTGGTTGCGGTGGGTCCTTTATGTATTCAATACAGCGGCTTGTTGAGTTGTGTGACATGAAGCCCGCCAACGTCCTCATCACCAACAGCATGCAGGCAAGTTCTTGGTGTCAGAATTGCTTTCTCATAGTGGAGGCAATCTTTCTTCAGAATTTGGTCAAATTATGCAACCATACTAGTGTATCCGAGTCCTGTACACACTTACACGTTTATGATTCTCGTCATGCCCTGTTCCTGATCTCTCATGCTACAACAACTCTCATCAAAATGACCAGGCAAAGATTGCAGACTTCGGGCTGGTGAGGCTGGGGGAGGGCACCAGTGTGGGCACGACACGCATCATGGGGACACCGGGCTATGTGGATCCAGCCTACTCCCGCACGTCCAAGGCCACCACCGCCAGTGATGTCTACAGGTGAGGCAGGAGACCCTTGGAGAGCATTGCGATAGTCCATTGAAAAGAATGCAGGAGTCTTTTGGAATGCATTGCAGGAGTCCCTCAGAGAGCATTGCAGGAGTCCATTGAAACACTTGCAGGAGTCCATTGGAAAGCATTGCGGTAGTCCCTTACGAAGCACAGCACAAGTCCTTTCTAGCCATTGCAGTAGTCCCCTGAAAAGCATTGCAATACTACCTTCGAAGCATTGCCAGAGTCTATTGAAAAGAATGACAGTAGTTCCTTTAAATTGTTGCATTGATCCCTAACAAGCATTGCAGGGGGGCCTTCAAAAGCATTGCAGCAGTCCCTTGAAAAGTATTGCAGGAGTCGCTTAGAATCATTGCAAGCAACCTTTGGGAGGCATTTCCACAGGCGATAGGAAAGATTGCTCCATTTACTATGTGTCTAGAGTCCATGAACCTGTGCTCAATGCATTTAGCTGGCAAGATTCATCTTAAGTGCCACCTCTCCCTCTGCATCCTGTGCCTCTGTGCTGTGATTTTCTTTTCAGCTTTGGAGTGCTCATGTTGGTTATCTTCACAGGGCGCCCACCATTTTTAGGGACTGATGGAGACGGTCAGCAGATCACTAAATGGGTGAGCACCCCATCCATGAAACGGCCTGTTCTTCTTTTCTGTGATAGTGTCATCTCAATAGCAGAAGGGAACACCCCCGTCCGCTGCCCACTGTTTGGTTGTGGTACACCTTACGCACTTCCGGTGTTGCTGGTGGTCCTCTCAGGGCCTGCAGGTGACTTCATGGGTAAGAACCATTTTGCTTATACTAAAAAAATTAGCTAGCGTCTTCTCAATGGCATCGAAAGAATTCCTTCCACACCCTCCACCCGCTCACCTCACGCTGCTTGTGATTTCTCCCACCCGCTCCACCCGCTCCACTCCCTCAGGCATCAGAGTGCCTCTCCTCGGGAGACAGGGAAAGCCTCAAGGACCCCACCATGGACGCCCCTGCAGATGCTGTGCTGCGTGTGGCTCAGCTCGCCCTCTCCTGCACTGCGGAGCGCACTGCAGACCGCCCAAGCATGCTGCAGGTTGCCAACGAGCTCCAGGCCATCCGGGAGGAGTGGGTGGGGAAGGAGGAGCTGAGTGCGGCTGTCAAGGTGGATGCGCAGGTGCAGGAGATGAAGGACGTTGTCGGCGTGAACAGCCTCAACACCGCACTTCAAATGATTGAAGACAACTTGGGTGAAAGTTACCATAGGTTATAGTTTTGACATGTGGCACTTATACTGGTAGTGCTCGAGAATGTCTACGTTTTTGCTGGGATTGCTGTTCATATGAATCTTCTGTATCAAAGAAGAGAGCAGTGTTCTCTTCTGATTTGATAGTGTTTGATAGTATAACTTCAGAGGCCCCAGTTTAACTTCAGATAAATTCAGAGACCCCTCCGCCACCCCTTGCTTAACTGCATCACCCGGATAACGGACTGGGTTCTAATGCTTTACTGTTGTGCTATTGCTATTATCATAATAGAAATGCAATAGACCCAATGTTGCAATGGACACGAGGTCCAATCTTGCAACATCTTTATATACTATGTAACCCCGGATTGAAGGACGCTGGACATAAGTCAGAAGTCGATGCATATCATGAAGCCTGCTTTCATCGCAGACCTCAAGTCCCATGTGACAGTCTGCGTAACCTCTATGCAATCGATGACTGCTTCTAGTCGGTTATAGCATTGTAATGAGCTAGGCTGAAGCTAATGGTGAGTCATCATCAAAGTCGTATTGCTCTTTTCCTCTCCGTGAAATCCCTCTCTCCCCTTCGTCTTGCATGGGCTGCTTTGCATGCCTATCAGACTTATACTTGGGAATCGCTTAAAGGGATCTATCGCATCCACTATCAGCCGCTTGATCACCCTGGTGAAATTGTAAGTATCATGATTCACGACTCCAATACCAGGCTATTCCAGCTACCATTGGCTTGTTGACAGCACTAAAAGAGCCAAATAAGCGGCTGCTCTTTATTGATGTCGTTGCGTTGCCACGTTCGTACAATCTCTAAAACTCGCAACTTGCTCTGGAGCAACATTCATGCCCGCTTGCCTTATGTAAAGCTCTAGGCCCAAATTGTTCAACCTTAGTAAGATTGACCGCTTGGCTATGAAGGATGTGCTCATGGAAGTTGACGAGGGTGTTGTGAGCGAGGGATGTTATACTTTCGCCAATCCCCTCGCTACAGTTTCAAGGGGGGGCTTCGTATTTGATTGCCAAGTCCCGTTGCACGGGCGTGGGTTCTCAAGTTTCCGAAACTCACACCATCAAGATTACTGAATTGCCCTGAGCAGTCCGCAATTTGGGCCTCGAGCTTTAACCAGAACCCTGCTGAAATAATATCAAATAGAAACCTTACAGATTTGAGGAGTTTTGTGAATTGGGAGTTTGCCTCCATCCCACATTTTTTCATCATCTTCCACTTCCCTCCGTGTACCCCTTACGAATCCATTCTCCTCTCAACCTCCATGCTCCGTCCACTTAGCCCCACTATTCCGCAAATATTTATATCCCCCTTTCCTCCCCATTCCACCCTCCCTACTTTCATTTACTGATGTTGTTTCCTTTTCCTCCCAGTCCAATGCTGCTCGTTCTTCTTCTCTATTCTCCCACCTTTTGGAATGTTGACTCGTCAAATCCCTTGGGCCGTGTTGTTGGGTACCTATTGTTCTCCAAGTTTGCTGGGGGTTTAGTTAGTCTAATTGTAAGTTATATGTATCCGTTTACATTATAGTAGTGTGGACATTAGGGTTTGGGTTATTTTAGGTATAGGGTGCCCCCTGCGTGACTTTATCAAGTGCTGGGCACCCCAAATTCGGCTTTGGAGCACCTCAGCACGTCTTCCAACCTTGGGAGCGCGTCTCCAGCCTGGTCCCACGAATTTCAACATTGGAAACGCGGCTCCATTTTGGAATTCGCGTTTCCAATTCGTGGAATCACGGTTCCATCTTGACTGTGGGCGACTTGAACACCCATTTGGCCACCCCAAGTCCCTTGGTACCAATACTCTCACCTGGACCAGCCCAAGTCGCCTCCAAGCTAGCTCTTTTCATTCGTTGCCTATATTAGCTTATGTTTTGCTTATATCCATCACCTCAATTCACTTACTTCTCTAGAACCTTTCAGCATTTCAGAATCAGCTTCTCTTTGTGGACATTGTGCACAATAGGTCTGTTTTTCTACAGGCTGCTTGCATGTGCTTCCTGACTGTCCTGTCCTGCCTGCTATTCACAATTCTTCATTTCTTTCAACCCACAACACACAATGCACAGGGATCTCTCATCCAAATCCTTGAGTGGCCCCATGTTCAGCTACTTTGCCTTCCTTGATGGCCTCACCTATCTGTACGAAGCTCACTAGAACCGTTGTTCTATGTGTCGGGCCCATGCCACACGGCGCTCTTTATGTTCCAAGCCTGCACTGCGCTCTCATGTGCCAAGTCTGCACTGCACTCTCATGTGCCAAGCCTGCACTGCACTCTTACGTGCCAAGCCTGCACTGCGCTCTCCTGTGCCAAGCCTGCACTGTGCGCTCCTGTGCCAAGCCTGCATGCGCTCTCCAGTGCCAAGCCTGCACTGTGCTCTCGTGTGCCAAGCCTGCACAGCGCTCTCATGTGCCAAACCTGAACTGCGCTCTCATGTGCCAAGCCTGCACTGCGCTCTCATGTGCCAAGCCCGTACTGCTCTCTCATGTGCAAAACATGCACTGCGCTCGCGCATCAACTCACTTTCACAAATGCTATGTGACCTTCCAAGTCTTGCCACCTCAGTTGATGTTCCACAGCATGCTGGGATGTGCTGTGACATGTTCAATGGTGCACTGCACTACACCTTATAGTTGCTGCCGTACATATCTTTTCTTCAGGTTTTTTTCACATCCATTTTACCAACCTAAATCTATATTCTTGTGGGATGGATGCACGCATTGGAATTGCCAGGTTCCCCCATCTCATGCATGCAGCACCGAACGGATGAATGCATGCCTTTAAGTGGATGGGTGGATGCACGTTGCTGCATTGCTGTGTGCATCAGGATAACAGGGCTCACTCCCACTCTTTCCGTCCAACCCATGTGAGCAGAAACATCTCTGCGAATAACCTCAGCGGGGAGATTCCAGCTGAGATTGGAGGTTTCACTAAATTGGTGTACTTGTGAGTAGGCTTGAGCAAATATCAAGCCCGGAGTGAATTTGCAAGGCTTCATTAAGTACCAAACCTAAACTGAACATGAATATAGGCTTGAGAAAGTACCAGAATCGGGGAGAATGTGTAAGTAGGCTTGGAACATACCAAACCCGAACCAACAATTCAACTTGTAATTAGGCTTGAACAAGTGCCAAACACGGACCAAACTTGGAACTTGTAAGTATGCTTGAGCAAGTATCGAACCCGAAACGAACTTGTAAGCCGTGTGAGGTAGGAGATAGGCTGTTGATCTGATGCCACAATGAAAGCACATGTTTGGCTTGAACAGAACACTCTTGCATGAGTAACAGTAATTTGCAGCTTTATGCGGGGTGCAGGCAATGTCTCTATGCCCCTCCTAGCAACCATCCCTATCCCGTTCCTGAGGAGATTCACTCTACAATGGTCGTGAGCTAGACTACGGAGGGGTTGGCACGAACTACTAGGAGTAATCGTAGCTTTGCTTAGTTCCTTAGCGCTTGCGCATTCACGGGAGAAATCGGCAAGAGTTTCACTAGGCATAGATTGCACTACAGAATGATTGAACAAGCAATGTCAACAATGACTACATCAGGCACCTAGCAACTCTGCAGCTAGCCTGTTCGACCGCCAGCACAACTTGGTCGACCGCCTGCCAGTGTTGCGTAGAGGAGCCGCGCCAGCACTGCAGTAGGGCGACCTGCCAACACTGTAGGTCGACGGCGTACCAACGCTGCAGCAGTGCGGCTGTCCAGCGTTGCCCCGTAGAAGACAGCAGTGCGCACGTATGCAGGTGCGCGCAGACGATTGGCCCAACTTGCACCGTTGTGCATCCGTCGGCCCTGGTCTGCGCCTGGCGAGCTACATCGACTTCGGGATACCAGCCCGAAGTTGCCTTCGTCACTGCGACCTCGACGACGTTCGCGTGCCTCTGCAGAAGTCGACGAGCAGGTTACCTGGTCGACCTAGACACCACCAGGTGCTCAGGTCGACCACCAAGTGCCTCTGGTCGACCACCAAGTGTCTCTGGTCGACCACCAAGTGGGTCGACCACCAAGTGCCTCTGGTCGACCACAGCTCCCGTCGAGCAACACCCTGGTCGACCACAGCTCCCGTCGAGCAACACCCTGGTCGACGCACCCCTCCGTCGACCAGCACTGTCAGCTGTTGTCGCCGAGCTCCCCTCGTCGACCGCTGCTCACTTGTCAGGTCGACGGGCTGCTCCGTCGACCTCCCCGTGGAACTGCTCCTCCTAGTCAACGGCCCACGTGTCGACCAGCCCAGTCAGCTGCTACTGTCGAGCACTTCTGGTCGACGGCAACACCACAGTGCCTCCGCAGAACTCGCCGAGCAGGTTACCTGGTCGACCTGGACACCACCAGGTGCTCTGGTCGACCACCAAGTGCCTTTGGTCGACCACCAAGTGTCTCTGGTCGACCACCAAGTGCTCTGGTCGACCACCAAGTGCCTCTGGTCGACCACAGATCCCGTCGAGCAACACCCTGGTCGACGGACCCATCCGTCGACCAGCACTGTCAGCTGTTGTCACCGAGCTCCCCTCGTCGACCGCTGCTCACTTGTCAGGTCGACGGGCTGCTCTGTCGACCTCCACGTCGAACTGCTCCTCCTGGTCGACGGCCCACGTGTCGACCAGCCCAGTCAGCTGCTACCGTCGAGCACCCCTGGTCGACGGCAACACCACAGTGATCCCTGTAGCTCGACGAAGCCCGTCGAGCAGCTCCCTCACTGTGAACGGTCGGCTGCTTCTCCCGTACATCCGACCAAGTCGTCGGCGTTGCCCAAGCGAGGGCGGGGCCAACACTCTATTCCAGTTAACAGTTCCCACCTTCAGAACAAATTAGCCACTATTCCGATTGAACTTGGAATGAATGTCTTTGTAGCCGTGCCCATTATTTCCGCTTTTTCATCTCCCCTTTTCCACTGCAGCAACAACTCTGGCACCAACCTCACATGTCCACTTGACAACTCTACCTGTGGCGTAACACAATCTCCTACCACATCCTTTTGCCGCACGTATAAAGCCTTCTGC